GTGTCTGCAGGAAATAGTGATTACAAAAATTTCTAAGACAAACTGTGAGAAATGAATATGGGAAAATAAGATTATGTTTCTAAAGGTGCTAAAAGTTATACATTACTATGAAAAAGTTTATTTTTATACCATTATGTACTGTCATATGGGCACTCGCACTTTTTATTTTGTTCCTTTTCTTAGAGGCACAAATCAAATTCAGTTATAAACAGCTCTGGTCTACTGTATCAACTTGGCAAGCATTGGTGACTAATTGTTTGTAGAGATCAGGGGTAAGGTGAAATTAGAAAGGACTTCAAGGTGCTGAACTTGGGTAATGCTATAAAAATAAGTAAGGTTGTAAATTTGGAGGCCAAAAGATTGAAGATTTGGCCTTATTTATGTGAAGTAGTCTTATGTCCATAAATAAAATCTGGAGATCATAAGAGAGAGACATCAGGATTGGAGATACAGACACACAGATTATGAAGACAGTGGAAGGTGTGGCAAGTGATTAGTTTACCAAAATAAGATACTGAAAAAAGAAAAAAAAAAGACAAAGGATTTCAATTCTAGGAAATAGTGGATAGGAAACCAACGAAAGAGATAGGAAAGGAGAAAGTGGGAGGTAGGAGAATCTGTAGCAGTGAGCAGTGCCACAAAATCAGCTGGGTGGTGGTAGGGAAACCTTCCGAAAGAAGAGGTTGCATCAATAAAGAACTGGTTAAATACATTATTATTGGAACATTCATATACTGGAAGTCTATGTCGTTATTAAAAAGGATGAGGTCAGTCTGCATGTACTGATGTTGAAAAAGTTATACAAAAAAAGGTGAGGGACAGAATAGCAAATGTGGCATTGTACTGTTTGCACACAGAAGAGGATACACGTAATCTTTGGATTGGTACACAGGAAGCTGACAGCAGTGATTGCCTCTAGGGAGGGGACCTGAGAGCTAGAGATCAGATAGGGAGAGAGGTTTAATTTCACTATCTTTTTGTACCATTTACAGTTTTTTTTTTTTTTACCATGCATATAAAAACAAATGATTAAAAAAGAGAGGGGTTTAGTAAACATTGTCAAATACTGTAAAAATGTTAAAGAGGACATAGACAGAGATAAAGGCCATTAGCCTCGATGATTAAGGGGCCTTGGTAACTTTGAGAAAGTAGGTTCAGTTGAGCCATTTGAGTACTGAGAGAGAGAACTGTATTGTAAGTGGTCAGAGAGCATACTTTAGGAAGACAAAATTTATCTTGAGATAATCAAGGTTTGATGGAATAAATTTGTGAACTGATCAGTTGTGTGTGTGTGCATATATACATATATATTTAACATATACTTACATGTACTTTTTTCTAGTTATGGAAAGGCAATAATGGATTTTATCTGGGACTAGAAATTGGCAAGTAGGATGTGACAGAAAGACATGCAGCTGAGGAATTTAGAGCACCAGTAAAAGCACTTGGAGGTGAACAGAGGGTGGACAGGATGGAGAAAACCTGCTGAAGATTGCAGGTGAGCTAGGTGTGGATGATACCATAATGGAAATAACTTGGAGGACATTTTTTACACCAACAGAGGTAATTGAATAACAGGAATCATACCCATTTTGAGGCACAGAAATCAAGGCAATAACTTTTACCTACCATTCAGCAGATTGATAGAAAATCATCAGATTTTAGCTACAAAAGATATAATTCTATTTTATAATAGTCAGCAAAGAGAAAGCAGTTTAAAGCCAATTTTATGCACTTAGGTTTTATCAAAAGAGAAATGGTAAGCTAACTTGATACACTGCCAACTTTTGATCACAGAAAATTGTTTCTGGAAAGTATGATTTCCATAAAAGGAGTAACTTAAGAGACAAAATCAAGAGTTAGTATAATCAAAATTCTGCATATTGTATTTTAGTGAAACAATAAATGTGACATAAGCCAACTTAGAGCAAATGGAAGCATCCCACAATGGTTATTTCATGGCACTGCCAGATGAGTTCTTGGGGAACACACTAGAGAGTGTTTCTGGAGGTAAATAAGACCCACTCTAGGGTATCTTCATGGTTGAACCTCCACTAAAGTGAAATAAAACAATACTTGGCCCTGAAGAGATCATAGCTAAGTCCTTCATGGGCTACAAAAGCCTGGGGACATTCCTGAACCTGATTTTATAGGATTACACTGCCACTAAACTTGCCCCTGGGACAGAGTCTGGTGTTTCTTGTGGTGGCAGGTCAAGTCAGATTTGGGACTAGTTGAGAAACTGTCCTTATTGTGGCTCACATGTGGGAACCTACCTTTTCAACTGGATCTAAGTAATATTCCATGAATTGGTGCAGAAAAGCATGCAAGAGTCTCACACACACAAAAATGCTAGTGTACTTTTAAAGATATGGCTTTTTAAGATAAATCATCGGACAAAAATAAACAAAACAGTCAAACTCAGTAAGTGAAAAGTGTTCACCTATTAAGAGTTTGAAAATTAGCTTTGATCAGAGTTAGGTAGACAAAGACAATGAAATAGTTATCACTTGGGCAGGGTTATTCTTCACTGGTCAACTTGAAGCAGTCAGGGTAAACCAGCTAAGTGATTTTGAAAACCATTAATTTTTCTCCTTTTTGTCTAAAAGAACTGATATATTTGCAGATAGTCTTGCCTGTCCTCTAGAAAATACATAGATTATAGTATATTCGGGCTGTAAAATCAAATGAAGTTAAATGTCTTAAAAACACTAGTTTTTATTTTTATTTTATTTTATTTTATTTTATTTTATTTTATTTTATTTTATTTTTCGTCTTTTTTCGTGACCGGCAACGGATGGCAACCCTCGGTGTTGCGCCCACACCTCGCTCAGCCAGTGAGCGGCCGGTCTGTATGTGGGATCCGAACCCTCGGCGGGAGCGCCGCCGCACTCGCAAGCAGTGCACTGTAGCAGTGTGCCACAGGGCCGGCCCAAAACACTAGTTTTTAAAATGAAAAAGTAATACATACACATAGCAGAAATTTCAAAAGGGTATAGAAAGAAAAGTAGGTTTTATTCTCAAAAGGCAGTTATTTGTTTCTAATTTCTTGTGCATCATATAGAAAAAGAAATATTCTATTACACAAGCGTGTGTGTATATGTATTCCTTAAAAAATACTAACTGGAATATAAGTTCTTCCTTAACAATGTATCTTAGAGATATTTTCCCATCAGTAGACATAAAGCCATCTCATTCTAACAGCTGCATAATATTTTACAGTAGGGATACACTCTCATTTATTTAGCCAATATCTTATTTATGGATATTATTTTTTCGGTTTGTTAATTTTCTCAAACAACGCTGAAACAAATATCTTTTCACACGTCTTTGTGCACAAATGCAAATATATTGCTTGTATAAATTTATAGAAATGGAATGGTTGGGTCTAAGGGTATGATATTTACAGATTGCAGGTCTATAAATATCACCGAGGTCATGGGTTCAGATCCCCGTAACAGCCAGCCGCCAAAAAAAAAAAAGACGTTTGAAGGGGTATGAATATTTAAAATTTTGGTAAATACTGGGAAATTTAACTTTAACTATACTGTATGTACAGTCTCACCAATAGTGTACGAAAGTGCCTGTTTCTCCACACCCTTGCCCACACAGTGTATTATCAAAAGTTTTCATCTTTGGTAACTGAAGAGAGAAAACTTATTTCATTTCAATTTTTTTATAGTTATAAGTATGATTGCGAAATAATACTTCTTAATTATAGATTAGTGCTGAAACTGAGAATTTTCTAAAGTCATATATTTCTTTGGCTTTCTTTCGGGAGAGGGGTCCTAGAAAATTTATTGTTATAGGAAGAAAATGTAATGTTGATAAAATTTTCTTACATAGTGTGTAGCAATAAACTATTTTAACAAGTGACGGTTTCATAGATAAGTTTCAGTTTTCGAAAAAGGGGAAGAAACGCCATTCCGTGGCTTGATGTGGGTTTGTCAGTTATCACCCCACACCCCCCACTTGCCGGGACTTCCCACTGCTTCTTTAGCACAAAGCAGACTTGACCGAAAACAGTTCTTTTTCCATGGGATCGGTTATAAAAAGAATGGCAATGCAACGAGCAGCTTAGCCTCTTCATCTCGTGTCAGTGAAAAGGCTTGTGGACATTTCTGGAAAGAGTACTGCCTGGCTTGTTCATCTCTAGTCAATTGCTGTGTTTCTGCAGAATCGAAGGAGCAGATTGGTTAGTGAAGGTAAGAAAAAGGAGGCTACGAGTCCTACGAGAGCTGTGCTCTCATTCTTTGTCGTTTCTCGTCTCATACTTTCTTAGCTCTTTATCACCAGAACTCAGATCCAATCTTATGACATCTAAAACACTTTTTTAGCTTACCGAATTAGAAGTGAGTGGGACTTTAAGCAAGCATTCAGTGGAGTTGGACAATAAAGAGAAATTAAGCCAGATACTTCCTTTTCTTACTTCTCGTGGCCACATGTTGGACATTTCTAAAATATTCTGTTTTTACCTAAAATTTTTGGCTGATCTGGTCAAATATTTATCGTGTAATTTATTCAGTTCTCTTTTACTAGTTGCTACACCAGTTTAGATTCTGAGTTTTTAAAAGAAGGCCTAAAAACCTAAGACACATTTTGTAGGGACAACACAGCTCTTGAATTGGGTTGCAGTGATGTGGTTTTAGAGATGAGCACAACCACAGTACATTCCAATTGGATTTGATTCTCAATTATTCAGTTCAGCGAGCTCGTGATTGTGTTTTTATATGTGACAGGACATATTCAAAGTGAATGTGACCTATAGTGATGATGCTTTTCAAATTGTCATCTGGGTTATTTGTGGAAAGTCTGCCTTTTAGTTTTAAAGACAGCCCATGCATGGGTGGACTTTTGTTTGAGTTATCTGTAGACCTGCTCAAACATTCTTTCTCTTGTGCCTGAATCTGTGTTTGAACATAAACCTGGTTTGGTCAGAATATTCATATTGGTATTTTTATAACATTTCTTGCATAGGTCAAGATCGTTTCTGAGCTTGAGACGCTTCTCATAGGAGTGAAGAGTATTTGAAATCTGGGTTAGACGTCCATATCATAACGATAATTTTGGAGATATACAAAGGTAATGCACTCTATTATCTCAGAGCAAAGTGATGTTTGAAATACTTATATCAAGTTACTGAAACATTTCCAATCACATACATAATGATTATTTTAGATAGATAAGATACTGTCCCTCTAGGGTCTTAATAAATGTCATGCAATGTAAATGTGCCTTCACTAACTAAATAAGTTATTTTCCCCCCAATTTTTATTTTGAAACGTGTCAAACCTATGTAAAAATAGAATACTACAATAAACATCGTGCACATTAATCAATTGTATCATTTTGCCACGTTTACTTTCTCTCTGTATCTGCTTCTCTTTCTCTCCACACACACACACACACACACACACACACACACACACACACACACACAGACACACACAGTTTTTTGGGGGGGGTGGCTAACTGGTAAGGGGATCTGAACCGTTGGCCTTGGTGTTAGTAGCGTCACACTCTCCCAAGACCCCTAAATTCTTGAGCACGTATCTCCTAAGAATAAGGGCAGTCTTCTACATAATTATAACATAAATATAACACCGTGGATTTTTTTTTTAAAAAGATGACCGGTAAGGGGATCTTAACCCTTGACTTGGTGTTGTCGGCACCACGCTTAGCCAGTGAGCAAACCGGCCATCCCTATATGGGATCCGAACCCGGGGCCTTGGTGTTATCAGCACCGCACTCTCCCGAGTGAGCCACGGGCCGGCCCATCACCATGGAAATTTAACATCAGTACAATACTGCTATCTGATATTTGACCCACATTCAAATTTTCCCATTTATCTACATGTCCTCTTAGAGCTTTTCTAGTTTTCTTTTTTTTTTTGGTGGCTGGCTGGTAAGGGGATCTGAACCTTTCACTTTAGTGTTACAAGGCCTCGCTCCAACCAACTGAGCTGAACCAGCCAGTTTACAGCCTTTCTATTTTTAAAATCCGGAATCCAATCAAGAATTTTGCATCTTATTGGTTGTCATGCCTACAATTAAGTAAATGTTAATGGTAATAGGGATAATTAATAGTGATTAACAATATGAAAATTTAACATCAATACAATACTATTATTATCGATTTTTTTATTTTTTAGTCCTCTCATTTTGTGTCAATGTACATTAAAAGTAATTTTAAAAAGTGATCATAAGGTTTAAATTTTTAATTTGTGAGATATCAAGAAAGAATACAAAGAAAAATCTAAACTATGATAAAAATATACTAACATTTCTGCACCAAATTTTATGTTTTCTGAAACAAGGAAATTCATACTTCAGATAAAGCCCTTGGAAGCAGCTGTTACCTTTCATCATAAGAATCTAAGCAGAACCAGGCTGGCCAAATAACTTAGTTGGTTAGAGCATGGTGCTGATAACCCGAAGGTCGAGGGTTCCATATCTATACTGACCAGCCACCACCCCAAAACCAAAACAAAGTTACACTCCACTTATATAAAAAAAATATAAGCAGAACCAAACACAAAATTATTTATTTACTTGGTGATGTTAATATGGAAAACATGAGACTTTCGACTTATGCTTATACTATCTTGGCCATCAAGTTAGACTTTCAGAAATTAATTTAAGTAAGAATCATCTCGTATTTGATAGAAGCATAGATAATCCCACATTATATGTTTGTAACAGGAATTGAAATATGGATGAGTGACACCTTAGAGAGTTTGTCAATAAATGAAGTAAGAGATAAAGTAATAGGAATATAATCTAAGGAATGTGCTTGATTGGTTATTTCCAGCTCTGAAGAACTGGTATTTTTAAAGGTAAGTGTAAGAAAACTGCAGATAATGCAGGGAGATACTTCCTAAAGAAACTCTTTGTTTCGGGTAAAATTCTTATATTATTCATTGAAAAAAAAAATTAAAACATGTAATACAGATTTGGTTACATTATTATAATTAGATCCTGAACAAAACAATATTCAAGTTTTTCAATGATGACTTTTCAGTGATTTATCTGCAAGTCCTCCAAATAAGGTTTTAAAAAACATTTACTTTGGAATTATGGACTTTAAAATTTATATTATAGGGGAACTAAAGAGGTGAAGAGAGAAAATAGAGGATTTCGAGGTTTGGGGGTATTAAAAATAACATCTCTGATATATACACACAATCTTAACAAGACAGTTTGTTTCACCACCATCAAATCTGAGGCAAATATAAATTTGCTCATCTGATTTGAAAACTGAAAAATAATAGTGTGTTGAAGAATGTCAGTGAAAACATTGCTGGTGAGAGAATAAATTGGTCCAAGCACCTTGAAGCCAATTTGGCAATAGCTGTGATCTAGTAATGCTGCTGCTCCAAATCTGGCCTAAGGAAACATTTATGGAGGCATATGCAAAGATTGCACATAGTCAAAAAGCCAGAAAAACCTCAATGTCCACTATAACAAGTGATTTACTAAAATAAGATGTGCCCATAGATGTCATAACTGAGGACTGGCTAGTTGGCTCAGTTGGTTAGAGTGCAGTGTTGATAACACCAAGGTCAAGGGTTTGAATCCCTGTGCCAGCTAGCTGCAAAAAAAAAAATTAATAATAATAATAATAAATATATATATACACGTATATATATATTTATATATATGTATGTATATATATAAAGATGTCATAACTGTTTAAAAGGTAGATCTATATAAGCAGACATGCTGGTGGGAGCCCAACTGCATCCCAGCTAGCTAGGTCCAAGATTTTCTATGAAACAGCAGATAAGAATTTCCTGGCTTTAATTCCAAGAGGTTGTAGCCTGTGATGCTGCTAGGAGGCACCTCTATCCACTTCATCCTTATTATGTGCATTCGCTGTCTTCTTTGTGCCCACCTCAATCCACCCTCTTCAGGTGTCTTAGTTTGCACATGCCCAAAATGTTGTTCAAGAGGCAGAATCTGTTCTCTGCTGCCTTATCACCTCCAATTTCCCCATGCCCCACCAATCCCCAATTTTCTTGCTTTCTTTTTGCTCTTGCCAGTTACTTCTTCATTCCAAATACTGTTCCAATGATTTATTTTACCATTTAAGGTAGTAGCTGGGTTTTACTAAAGTTCCATGAAATCCTCCCCATACTGGCCAGCTGCCAACCCCCCCCCCCCCAAAAAAAAAAAAACCCAAAAAAAAAAAAAATTCC